AACGACGGTGCTACCTACTCCTCAATAGTAGGATAGCATTGTCTAAAGGAAGATAGCATATAACGATTCCTTTTTCGAGTAGGTAGATAGTTCTTAAGTACTTGCTCTTTCAAAAAAAACAAAATTTTTTCACACTTACACTTTTCGAACAAAGTTTTCAAAAAACACTTCATACACTCTTGAGGACAGAAGCAAGAGTTAAATCGAAGTTTTCAAACAAAAACTTTTTCAAACCCACAAGCACAAAGAAATCAATTTTGAAAACAATTGAGCAAGTACCTAAGAGCCCGTGGATAACCACGGATAAAAAGGATGCTAATACCTTCCCTTTCTATAATCTACCCCCCGAACCCGAGAAATATCTCGAAAAAGGATTTTTTCTGTGCTTTGTTTCCTTTCCTTGTTGGATAAAATAAAAGTCGGTGGCAACTCTTGCTTACCGTGACATTTTGCAAAAACAAAACGCAAAATGCAAACCAGCATTCCAAAAAATAGTCAGCTCTTCCCACCGTATCACAGTAGGCAAAAGTTGATAGTCGGGAAATGTGAAGTAATAGTGCAAAGGATCAAAGAACTGAAAGAGCACCTTCATCATATCTTCGTATGGGTTGGAGGTGACCAAGTTGAGTAGACGACCGTGTCTCTCGATGAATGGAGAATTTTCAGGAATCCTTGAAACTAGCTCCTTAAGTCGTGGAGGAATTCTCACAAGGTTGACTTGAATAGTTTTCCTGCAAAGTGAATCCATATCCTATAAAACAAGAACAAAGATGAATCCCCAAAATCCTTGAAATGGTTAGTGGATGTATATGATGTTCATGATGTCCATGATGTTATGTACAAGTATGCATATACATGCAAAGCAAACAAGTCCTTAGGTTTAGGCTTGCATGGAGTTTTATAGGTAAGTACCCTCTTGAAGTTTAGTTGGCTCAAACCTGTCCTAGTAATAGTAACCGGGTTCTAAGGAGCTCAATATCACTGATTTGTTTTCTCGGACATTGTTTCAGCGCAAGCCTCTTTAATGGTGACCGAAATATCCCAAAAAACAAAACCTCAATGAGTGTAGTATCAAGTATCTACCAACTTTGGACTGCACCAAAGCAGGTCATCTCACTACATCCTAAAGGCCAAGTTGGTCAAGTAAAGGTTCTAAAAGTTCATTAGTGCTTCATGACATCACTCAGCGGCCACGTATTCTCCTTGACTACTCAAGGGCTATAGGTACCCACAAATATGTCGCACTAACGTAGCTATTGCTTAGACCGTGTCGGTATACCCCACACTGTTTCCACAACGTATTGCTACTTACCTATAAGGTATCCCAAATCCGGGTAGAGGATTCAAACACAAACAAAGAACCAAAATGTAAAGCACACAAGTCAAACAAAGAAAGCAAGTAAATATGATCTAACCCAGGTAACCCCACTTTTAAAAAAAATTTCCCCAACAGAGTCGCCAATTCTATGATACGGTGGGAGAACTGACTTGATTGTTTTGCCTTTTATCGCAAATGTTGCAGTTAGCAAGAGTCGCCACCGACTTTTCTTTTATCCAAAAGGAGAGGTGAAAAAGCACAGGAAAGACCTTTGAGATTGTTTCTTGAGTTCGGGGGGTAGATTATGAAAAGGGAAGGTATTAGCACCCTTTCCATCTATGGTTTTCCATGGGCTCTTAGTTACTTGCTAGAACACTTGCTTTTGTTTGAAAAATGTGCTTTGTGTGGTTTTTGAAAGTATTTTGAAAAGGCACCATCGTTTAGGCAAACTTTGTAATGATTCTCGTTCGTAAGAATGTATACAAAGTGTTGATCTTTTGAAAATGTTTTCAAGTTTGAAAGGTGTTTTTGAAAGTGTCAGTGTTTGTTTTGAAAATAGCAAGGATGTTTGTTTTGAGATGGAGCAAGTAATTAGGAGAAATCTACCTACTCAAATGTCTTTCTTGTTCATTTTCTTTTCCTTTGACATTGTTGTCTTACCATTGATTTGGTAAGCAACCCTATCTTTGGATGTAAGCGGGACAGGCGTGAGTCATCGTATAGTCATGATTAGCAATGTTGCAAAGTATCTTAGTATTTTTTGAGGGACTAAGATCATTTTGTAAGGAAATTTTGAATAGCGTCATCGAGGGACTATGATCTTATATTTGTTTGTTTTGCTAAGATACCTTACATGCGTAACATGGCCATTTTGTTCAAGGCAACCAAGTGGAGTAACCCTAGGGGTGTTTGTGTGCAAGTGTGTCATTTTCATGCTTGATTTGTCTTGAATTAGGGTTTTCTATTTGATTGGTTTTATCTTGCCATACAAACCCTAATTATTAACATGTTATATAAAGCGATAAATTGCGGAAAGTAAATATCCTACGCTATTACAAACATTTGGGGATGTGGTGTACAAGTTTACAAATGGGGATTGCAAGAAATTAAAGTCCTAATTATATATTACAACCATATTGAATAACCATGAAGAAAATATATGAAGCATGTAAAAATAAAGAAAAATGAAAGGAAAAGAAACATTTTGGATCATTATGTGTCGACACATGCCGTAAAATCAATCTTCTCGAATGCACTTTTGCTTTGATGAAGACAAATCAAGATTGGTAAAGAAGGCAAAAATTATTGATCAAGCTAAAAGCCTCTTTGGACGAAGTCTTTGGTTAAAGCCCTTAGCAAATTTCAAGGTATAATGATGATACTTACCTTGAACTTAAGATATAGATGCTCAATGGTCAAAAAGAAACATTTTATATTGTCCAACTCTTTATACAAGTATTTTCAAAGCAAAAATTCAATTTTCATTTGAGTGCAATCGATTTGCATGTTAGTGCAATCGATCGCATGCTTCAGTTTTTCAAAACATGGCTACTGACTTCCAGTGCAACTGATTTACATGGTTGTGCAATCGATTGCACACTCAAAATATTTGGAAATCTGGCTACTGGAACCCCGTGCAATCGATTTGCATGGTTGTGCAATCGATTTACATGGTTGTGCAATCGATTGCACACTCAAAATATTTGGAAATCTGGCTACTGAAACCCCGTGCAATCGATTTTCATAGAGGGTGCAATCGATTGCTTGGTGTATGATTTTGAAAAACAACAACCTTACACCTGCCTGTTCATGATACTATTTCATGGAAAACTTTTCACTCAATCTTGGCAATTGTTCATGATTTTTTTACAAACCTTTTCTTCAAAGGTCACTGTATTTTAGCCTAAAAATGAACCAAATGATGATGATTGAAATGAAAAGTTTAAAGTTAATGAGACTTACCTTGCAGCTAGAATTTATGTTTTGAGCTTGAGGTGTTACTTTGTGGACTGTTATGACCTTTTTCAGTTATGAGATTTTTTGAGAGTTTGTCAACAAAACTTCTGGTTTCTTTCTATTTTTTCTAACCTTTTTCCAACCTCTTTCTCTTGCAAATGCTTCTTCTATTTACAGGCAAGAGGTTTGTGCATATGAGCTGACTAAGTTTGCAAGACAGCATGTTATGGTTTGGTTGAATTACAAAAATCAAACTATGTCAAGTACTCCATGGTTCCAAGATGAAGTACCAAAGTTGCTGGTATTGTGGAGCTACTTCCCATGATTTATGGTGGAGTATAATCAACAACAAGCAAGGTATGGGCTCAAGACAAACTTTGTACAAAAAGCTTGCTTTTCAAGAATAGCAATGGTGCCTTTATGCCATAAATGGAAAGATCTTTTGGACAATGGCTTAAACACTTGGGTAATAGCTCAAAAGTGGGTGTAAACATTAAATTATGTAGAGATTTGCAAGTCACAAGGCCTGCAACATAAGATCATGCAGCATAGCATAAGGGTTTTGTTGTGTGTTCTTCAATAGAATGACTTGCAAATCAAGGGTGGATGCCCAACTTCATGCCCTTGAATCTCCTATCTCAAGTATGATAAATTCATGCTCTTGGATGTTTTGGAAAGCTTGAAAAATCCTCTATAACTTTCATGTTGACCACTTTTGTTAAATAAAACTGGAACTTGATGGAAATTGGCCAAGAAGTTAGGATAAAAACCTGTTCAAACCTGCTGAAAAATTCTCTAAGTGTTTATTCAAAAATGCCATGACTTCATGATTTTATAACTCAAAATCCAAACATTTCTAGAAAAAGTCCTGCTCTACAATGTTTTAGATCTCATTGAGATTTACAACTTTTATGTTGGAGGTTTTCCTTGAATCATCTTGTATCATAGCGGAAAATTGGCATGAAGTGGCGAAATTATCATGTGTAAGAACACTTAGAAAATTTCTAAGTCTTGGAAATCTTGACTTTTCAAGTTGACTTTTGACTTTCTTAACTTCTTGATGATCAAGCTTGGTATTTTTGAATGTCTTGATGAATTGTGATATTTGAAACTTAATGTTGACCAAAAAGTCAAAGTTTGACTTTTGGTGCTATAGTTGACTTTTTCACCAATACGGTTGATTTTAGGTCATCTGATCAATTGACTGAGCAAAAATGCGATCCAAGACCTGAAACTTGACATGAGCAATCTTGAGAGTCCAAAATGATCCATGAAAGTCAAATGAGGCATTAAAAGTCCATTTGTCCTTGTGCAAACTCAAACCTTAATTTCCAGTCATCAGTGCTTGAGGAGATGTCTTGAGCTGATCAACCTTAGTGCAGTCTTGAACCAAATGAGATCTTGTGAGATATTAATTGAGAAATGAGAGGGTAAATTTGGGGGTACAAAACCTGTGTAATTGGAAAATCTTGTAGAGTGAAGTTTAACAAAGGAAAACAAAGAACACATGGATCCCTTGATTACATTCATTGTGATCTTTGGGGGCCTACAAGGTATCCATCACATTCAGGAGCAAGTTATTTTCTATCCATAGTAGATGATTATTCCATAAATTTATGGGTATTCATCCAGAATACTAAGGATGAAACTTTTGAGAATTTCAAAAGTTTGAAGACTCTGGTCAAAAATTAAACTAGCAGAAAGGTCAAGAGGTTGAGAACCGACAATGGCCTTGAATTTTGCAATAAGGCTTTCGACAAAGTTTGTGTTGCCTCTGGTATTGCAAGGCACAAAACTACTGCAAGTACTCCACAAAAAAATGGTTTGGCTAAAAGATTTAATTGAACTATTTTAGAAAGAGTTAGATGTATGCTGAGTAGTGTTGGGTTGAAGAAGGTGTTTTAGGCTGAGGCTGTTTTGACAGCTACATATATGATAACAGATGTCCTTCGATTGCGTTAGATATGAAGACACCTGAAGAAGTTTGGTCGGGACATCCACCAGATCTCGACAAACTAAGAGTATTTGGCTGCATAGCCTATGCTCACATTAGGCAAGACAAGGTCGAACATAGAGCTCTGAAATGCATGTTCAAGGGATACCCTGAAGGAGTCAAAGCTTATAGGCTATGGTGCCTAGAGCCAGGTAACAGGAGGTGTATCACCAGTCGAGATGTAGTTTTTAATGAAGCTGAAATGGCTTTCAATAAAAATGATGATGTTGATCGAAGTGTAGAAATATCAGATGAAGAGCTGGAACAGGGAAAGATTCATGTTGAGGTGGAGTATGTTGATGTTGAATTGCGTATCCCATATGAAGTCGAAGAAGAAGCAGAAGATGCTGAGGAAGTAAAGGAAAATGTTGATGACTACCTATTGACAAGAGATAAAACAAGAAGAGTCATCAAGCCACCTCAGAGACTTGGGTATGCAGATCTTATAACTTATGCCTTAATCTCTGCAAGTGAGGTTCTAGATGAGGAACCTAGAGACTATAAGGAAGTTATGAGGAGTTGAAATAAGACTAAATGGTTGAAGTCCATGGATAATGAGATGGAATCTCTTCATGATAAAAACACTTGGGAACTAATTAAGAAACCTGCTGAAGCAAGGTTAGTCAGTTGTAAATGAACTTTCAAAGTTAAGGACGAAATCGAAGGAGTGGCGTCGAAAAGATACAAGGCAAGGTTGGTTGCAAGGGGTTTCACTTAAAAAGAAGGTGTCGACTTCTATAATGTGTTTTCTCCTATTGTGAAGCACATGTCCATTCGAATGTTGCTTGCCATGGTGGCACAATTTGATCTTAAACTGGAACAAATGGACGTGAAGACTGTGTTCTTGTATAATGATCTAGATGAAACAATCCCGATGAGGCAACTTAAAGGGTATGTCGAAAAGGGAAAGGAAGTTATGTGTGCAAGTTGAATAGATCTTTATATGGGCTGAAACAATCTCCTCGACAGTGGAATAAGAGATTCGACAAGTTCATGGCACGCATAAGTTTCATTAGAAGTTAGTTCGACCACTGTGTTTAGTTCAGATTTCGAACTGGTAATTCATTTGTTATTTTGTTGCTTTATGTTGATGATATTCTCATATAAAGCAACAATGTCGAAGATGTAATGAGGGTGAAGGCTGGACTCGATAAGGAGTTCGAAATGTAGGATCTGAGAGCTGCATCCATAATTCTTGGGATTGACATTCGAAGAGATAGAAAGCAATCAAAATCATGCTTATCTCAAGAGACATATCTATGAAAGATTCTCGACAAGTTTGGTATGTCGAATTCAAAGCACGTTGTGACTCCAACAAACTCTCAACTCACGTTGAGTATAGATCAGTGTCCCAATACTGATGTCGAAATAGCTTATATGAATAGCATCTTGTATGCTAATATAATAGGTTCTTTGATGTATGCTATAGTCTGTACTAGACCGACATAACATATGCAGTAAGTCTTGTAAGCAGGTAGCGAATCTTGAAAAGACTCACTGGAAATCATTGAAGTGGATTCTAAGGTACATAAATGAGTCTCTGAATAGAGTCTTAATTTATGGTGGAGCCTTGGGTAAAGATAATAAAATAATAATTGAATGGTATGTCGACTCTGATTATGCAGGCTGTATGGATTCTAGAAAATCTATTTCTGGATATGTTTCACTATGTTTGGTACAACAATTAGTTGGAAAACAACACTTCAAAAGGTTGCCACATTATCAATATTTAGTTGGAAATCAACACAAATCCAAAACTATTTTAAGATATAATAAAAGTTCTGCAAAAATTCAAAAATCGATTATCATTTTTCAATATCAGAACTTGCAGATTAAAATCAATTGATCTTTCCCATAACAAACAGATTTGTAGATTTATATTTATTTCATTTAAAAAAATAATAGAATTATGTTAGTAGAAACTTTCCTTTAGCAACATTTATATATAGCAGAAAGTGTTTTGAAAATGAAATAGAGGACATAAATGGAATATGCCTTATTAGCTACCCAAACATCCGTTTAAGATCCTCTATAGTCTTATCCACATATAAGTCGATCTAATCTTCAAATCAAAACACGGAAGAACATTCCATTTTCACCGCTTCGAAACCCTTCCATTTCCCCTAAATTTCAAACCCTAACATCGAAAATCCGCGTGCGATCTTCCCAAATCGTCAACAAACCAATCAATCTTCGTCTTCTTCCTCTCCGGTACTTCAATCATTCTTTCTCTATTTCCAATTCCGCTGATTTCTATCATTTCAACACACACTACTTTTACTTTCTATTCTTGTTTTCATCACTCATTTTTGTTGTAATTTTTCGTCACTGATTTTATCTAATCATGAGTTGTTTTGTAATGTTCTTAATTTCGATTTCTTTAATCTTACAGGGACATTCGTTTGTCAAAGACGGAAAACTAAGGTTCAAGCTTCGATTATTTTTGGCAAATTCGAATTATTGAAAATTGTTCATCATGAAGTTCCTAGAGTGTGCTCCTCTTGACCGGTAGTTGTAATTTCGAACATTTTTTAATTTGAATTGTGTGATTTTGTTGCGTAATTTCGGTACGTTATATGTGTCCGGTAAAATAATTTTCAGGCTTAATGATTTCTTGAGTAATTTGAATCTGGGAGAAAGTACTATCAAAGGATGCCTTGAAGCTTATAGTTGTAAGTAGGAATTAGGGACTTAAAAAGAATTTGTTTCTAGATTTGATTGGGGGTAGTGCTTAATTTAGTGGTCTTTCTATAGGTAAACATTCTGGAGCAGATAAGAAACTCTCTATCAGTTTGGGTAATGAGGTAAGCCGGATTTTGCATCCTGAAAAATGTTATTGTTAGATGAAGCTGATTTAGTAAGTGTTGAAACTTAAAAAAGATTAATTAAAGATATTGTTGATTAAGAATTTCTTCTGGGTAACAACAAATTACCATGTTTTAAACTTTGCTGTTTATCTGATTTTGGCAATTCGATTTATTTCCATTTTTCTGTTTTGTCAATTTATATGTTATTTATTGAACTTCTTCGATTTCAGATTCTTGATTATCTTGGAAAATCATCTGACAATGATTCTTCCTCACCGAATGAATCCTTAATAACTAGAACCAGGTAGCAATTACGGTTACTAACTAGATAGGTTAAACAGAGTCTGAGATTTCTTTTCCGTAATTCATTATGTTCTTTTCAGCCGGAAGACATTGGTTTACCTGATTCTTGCGCTGTATCACATGTATCCAGATTATGACTTCAGGTACCTCGGTATCCTATGATGTATCAAAGATTGTTCAAATGATAAAAACTTAAAAAGAAGGATTATGGGTAATGCTATTGTCAGCTTAAACGGCGACCTGGCAACCCGCTATATAATCCTTTTTTATTTTATCGGAAGTGTTGTCAAAAAGGCCTGACAGACAGTTAAAAACTGTTGCTCTTGAAGCTGAGAGTTCAAGTCTCTCCATTTCCCAAATCTTACCGTGGTCAATTAAGTGGTTTAACACATTTGCTTTTACTTTGTGTTTCTGCTGTTACATCCTTTCCTGTTTCCTATAATATCATATGCGTATAATGGTTTTTAGTGCAGTTAAAGCTCACCAGTATTTCACAGAGGAATCATGGGACAGTTTTAAGCAAACTTTTGATGCTTACATGTCTGAAGCCTCAAAGGTGCTACTATTTATCATTGTCTATGTGTAGTTTTAACTTTAAAGTTTCGTTTGCAGGCGATGTGCCGGAATCTTATCAGCATCTTGGATGGTAGTACATGATGCTTGTTTGGGTTAAAATCTGTGATTTTTTTAATAAGATTCCCATATTTTGTAATATCTCTTAGAGTCTTGAGCATGTTTGCTAACAGTGTTGTTTTCTGCATCCAATAGTTTATGCTACTTTCAATTTCTAAAAATACTTGTAAGGTTTAGGTGCAAAAGGAACAAGGATAATTTCATTAAGTGCATAATAGCATGATACACAAATACAAATCACTAGCACATTTTTAACTAATATGACACTCTTATTATACCATACTAAGGAAACAAATCAATAGATATAATGAGACGTAAAGAGGTCATCTATGTACATCAAACCATTCTAGTATATGATAATGATATCATGAGACACTACTAATTAACACTTGAGCTAAACATAAAATGTCCTAGCAAAACATGACTGAATAGTCAACCCAGGGATTCTAGATATATCAAAGATATGTGTGTTATTGGAGGGATAAAAGTTAGCATGAATCATTGTTGGGTTGAAGAGGTTGTTGGAATGTTGCATGACAGGACAAATTAGAGTGGTAGGATTTCATACTTAACTGGCAAATGCAAGAACATAACAGATACCTGAGCCAACTGAAAAAAACCCAACTGATTAAGTAGTAAGGACACACTTGATTTGAAGAGTCCAAACCAAACATGGCAAAGCAAAGCCCAAGGGAGTCAAACAGCCTGGGAGGAGGATGAGCATGAGAATCTAAGTAAAGTTGAATCTGGTAGGAGACACAAAGGAAAGACAGTGGGATCACACTGCCAAGGAAGTGTGCATCATTCACTTCTTCACATGAGGAGGTGGAACTTGCACAAACATCCACTCTCGTTTTTAAGTAAACACTAACCTCCCTTATTTATCTCCCAAAGTGATAGATTCCCCCCTTTTCCTTGAGCACTGTTAATCCCAACATTCACGCACACGGAGGTTTGCCACTTTTACTTAATTTGCGCATAATAAGATTGGTTATCACTTAGAATTATTCACAGAATGGGTTGCTTTGCTTGTGTTTTGACAAGTCTGTTGAGTTTTAATCATTAGTTGTTTACAAGTTGTCAAGTGTTTGAGGGCTGGGTTGTTGAACATTCTACCCGTGGGTTTCGTTCTCGCGTGTCAATGGTGACAATGGAACTCAGGGAACAATTTTTTTTATTTTTAAATGTAAACATCAAGAAAGTACTAATCTAAATTAACAGTAGTGAAGAGGAGAGAATATAATTTTAGTGATGTTTTTATCTCATTAATAAAACAATGTAATAGGAGTGGCAAGGCTTGGGGAAAATTTGAGGTGTTTGTGTTGTTTAAGAAGACTTTAGGGGAAGGTTAGTGTAATTTGTCAAAAAAATATTTAGAGAAAGCAAAAGGTGTAGTTTAGGAAGGGAAAAATAGTTTTCAGTCACATGTGTGACCATGGAATAGTTATTTCATTGGTTAATTGTAAATAAGTCTAGCGTCAAAGTGGGAAATTAATATATCCACAGTTAAAGGGACAATTCCGTTAGTTAAGTATTATGGCGTGTATTGGTATATCACTATTGAATTTTAATTGACATATCTGATATTTATTTTTTGGTTACAATCAAATATCAGATATTTGTTATCAAATATTTGATATGTTATCAAAGCAGTGTAGTACACTACAATGTTACCAGAGCAGTTTAGTTCACCCTCAGATTACACTAGAGCAACTTTATCCTTAGGCATCTAAGATTCTCATGGACTGGAAAATGCATATCACATCCTGCAAAGTGAACATCTTAGCTGGATAGAGGGCACTATGGTTCCTGATTTCTTTATTGACATTAACCATGACTTGGAGTGGATTCTACTTATCTTGATCTGTCTGTCATTCTTTTGTTGGTGCTGTTATTACGTGATAAAATGTTTAGTTTTGCTATCACAATTTAAGGAACATCTTGTTTTGGATGACTTGTCTATTGCAGGAATGGGTTGAAACCTTTGGGGGTGCTTCTCTGCTGGATGCCTTGTTCAAGGCCCTTGATGAGGCGAGTTTAATATAGAATATAAATTGAAGTGATACCTAGACAGACATTTTAATGATATTTTGTGATGCAGGTTGTGACGTTATTCGACTGTGAAATTTATGGCTATTTACCTGATCCTGAGGCAGACCCGTTACAGGAGGGAGGAGCCATGTAATTTCTTTTTGCCACACATGCTTAAAAAGTTACCAGCACAATGTCTGTTATAGATTATCTTAGTAACCATTTTTTTTTTGTTTTCTGCAGTTGGTCCTTTAATTTCTTGTTCTACAATAGAAAGCTTAAGCGGATTGTGACATTTCGTTTAAGCAGTTTTAGGTGAGTTAATTATAACCTTCATGTGACTAAGTGAACTGCATTTTGTTTGCATCTATATTCACTGTTTGAACAATGCTTGGCAGTAACTTGATTGCGGATGGATTTTCTTTTGACGAGATACTTGATGAGTATGATGAAGAAATATTTGCTGACATGGATATATGAGTTAACATAATATATCTGTTATGTTAATATGTCCATACACTCATCCTCCAATGTGCAGTTTCTGAATTGTAAGATCCTTGTGCAGTTTCTGAATTGTAAGATCCTTTTGCAGTTTTTGTAATACTAAAGATAGTTATATGGCAGTCTAGTCAGAGTATTTGTAGGTTGCTACTTGCAACCCTTCAAGTATGTATGCATGCTGTAGTTCTCTACCTATCTGTGTGCATGTAACTAATCGGATTCAGGGTGCCTCAAGTGCAATTCAATAATAATTAAAACAAACTTATTTGGCATTGGAACGATGATTATTGGGTATTAAAATACATTATTCTGTAAATTCTGTTTGATCCACCGTTGCACACATGTAGAATGTTTGATGCCCGGGTTAAAAGGAGAAGCATAGTAGTGTGTTAATATTTGACGCCCGGGGTTAATGGAGAAGCAGAGTAATGTGACTAACAGCATGGATACCATATTATTTCTCATGGTAATGGTATATTTCTTGTTACCTTTTAAATAATCAATTTCAGAATAGTGTATTCAGTCCCCTTCCCTTCTCCATTGTTATCTCTTCTCATAATAACAAGTGTACTTCAGTCCCCTTCTCCATTGTTATCTCTTCTCATATTATATAAGGTGGTGTTTGTTTCAAGGATTCATTAAAAATTCTCAGAAATAAGTTTCCTGGAAATAAAAATATGAAGATTTAATTCTTGAGTATTTTTCTAAATATTTGTTTGGTGTATAATTTGATGTTCTTTGAAAAATGAGTAGTTATATTTTTTTTTAAAAAAATTATGTGAAATTTCATGAGTATGAGCATTTCTACATATTTTTCATGAGAATAAAACCATTAGAATTATGGAAGTTATTTGATTCTAAGAAATTTTTATTTTTGGAAATAATTTATTTTTAAACTTATAACAAACATGGAATTAACTATTTTTCACCCATCTATTTTCAGAAATATATTTTCTAGGCTTGAAACAAACGTCCTAACAAAATCCCTGAGTACCCCCTAAAGGTTTAAAAAAAGTTTTTATAGAAATACATTTATTCAACATATTGGAATTTTTTTACAGGATAATATCTAACTTATCAATATTAGTTTATATCCGTTGAGCTAGGATATGGACACAATAATAGGATATTAGTTGAGCTGGGATATG